ACCAATCGGGGTGTGGTTTTAGTGACGTCAGAGGTTATTACAAGTCAAGGAGACAGAGTAGATTGTTTTAAGAACAGACAGAAAGATGTTTTGAAGAACAGAGACATTTAGGAGCCAGTCTTCCTTCTATCTGTCTGATAGAGATAAACATGACATTTCGTTCCGATAAACATGTTTTTGACCGTTCCTTCACTTTTGACCGACTCACTCCTTCTCATTTCAGACAGAAGATCAAAAATGCATCATTACTCTTGTAACAGACATTAACTTGATTTCTACTTTGAATGAGGATTAAAAATCATTAATACTGTTTCACAGTTGATTTAAAGTGAGTAGTTCACTTCAACATTTAAAATGGTTTGAACTAAACACACTTTTGATTATCAAGACATTTGTAAAATAGTAATGATAATATGAAAGAGAGTGTTCTTTCAATTGATTTAGTGCAGGACACACTTAGAAGTCTCTGGATGAGCTTAATTTGTGTTTCTGGACTCAAATCAATGAAATAACAGTTCCTGTCCCAGGAAGGTCCAGGTTTTGACCTGAGGCTTAGTTCACTACACTATTGTTACCAATCAGTTCATTTGATTAATAATCAATTCACTTGTTCTTATTAATCTGTTCATACTGTTCAGCTGTGAATCGGTTGGTTCATGGCTCCTTTTCAGCATTTCCCCTCCCCGTTGAAAGTTTCTGGGGCGTTCATGCATTCAGAACGCATATCTACATAGCATGCGTCTGTGCATGGTACACATAATTACGCAACGCGTAATTACGTACATGGGGAGCTGAGTGACAAGACATTTTTGGGCAAGCTTCCGCTTCATACAGTGTTCGAATGGACCCAGTGAGGCAAGGACCACATCCGCTTCGCCCTTAACCCACCAGCGACAGCCTTAAAGGGTGACGCCTATACAAAATAAAACGTAGATTACGTACTGTAACCCCAGATTCTATGAGTATAGGTGTAGCCCTTTAAGTGTCGGGCCTCACTGGCTCCTAAGTGGCTGAAGAAAAAGCTCTTTGGGAGCCGATTACCCGCTCTTAACGTAATTTATATGGACCGGGTGGGGCCCACATAGCTGGTGGATGTGGACTAAATTTTTCAGTGCAATGCTTCGCATGACGGGATAAAACCCACCAGCGACAGCCTTAAGGGCTACGCCTAAACTCATAGAATCTGGGGTTATAGTACGTAACCAACGTTTTCCTGTCTTGCAGAGTAATGCATCAGAGAAGTTTAACGTTGATTTTTATTGTACAGTGCTTTGTGATTTTATGTCTGTAAAAATCCATCCATCCATTATCTTCCGCTTATTCCGAAGTCGGGTCGCAGGGGGAGCAGCTTGAGCAGGGAGGCCCAGACATCTCTTTCCACAGCCATCTTTTCCAGCTCTTCTGGGAGGATTCCAAGGTGTTCCCAGGCCAACCGAGTGACATAATCTCTCTGTGTCCTGGGTCTTCCCCGGGGTCTTCTTACAGTTGGACATGCCCAAAGCACCTCTCTAGGAAGGCGCCCAGGAAGCATCCTTACCAAATGCCCAAACCACCTCAACTGGCTCCTCTCGACATGGAGGAGTAGCAGTTCTACTCCTTGTCTCCCCCGAATAACTGAACTTCTCACCCTATCTCTAAGGGAGAGTCCAGCTACCCTGCACCTCACGCTCCATTCTTCCCTCACTCGTGAACAAAACCCTGAGATACTTGAACTCCTTCACTTGAGGCAGAACCTCACCCTCGACCTGAAGAGAGCAATCCACCCTTTTCCGGTTGAGGATTATGGCCTCAGATTTGGAGTTGCTGATTCTCATCCCAGCCGCTTCATACTCGGCTGCGAACCGCTCCAGTGAGAGCCGGAGATCACGGCACAATAATGCCAACAGGACCACATCATCTGCAAAGAGCAGAGATGGAATCCTGAGGCCACCGAACCGGAAACCCTCCGCCAGCTGGCTGCACTGAGAAATCCTGTCCATAAAATTTATGCACAGAATCGGTGACAATGGGCAGCCCTGGCGGAGTCCAACTCCCACCCTGAAGGACTCTGACTTACTGCCGGCAATGCAAACCAAACTCTTGCACCGCTTGTATAGGGACTGAACAGCCCATAACAATGGGCCTCCAACCCCATACACACGGAGCACCCCCCACAGTGTACCCCGAGGAACACGGTCGAATGCCTTCTCCAAATCAACAAAACACATGTACACTGGATGGGCAAACTCCCATGATCCTTCAAGGACCCTAGTAAAGAGCTGATCCAGTGTTCCACGGCCAGGATGGAACACACATTGTTCCTCCTGGATCTGAGGCTCGACCAACGATCGGACTCGCTTCTCCCGTACCCCTGAATAGACCTTACCAGGGAGGCTAAGGAGGGTGATGCCCTATAATTAGAGCACGCCCTCTGGTCCCCCTTTTTGAAGAGGGGAACCACCACCCCAGTCTGCCAGTCCAGTGGCACTGCCGCCGATGTCCATGCGACGTTACAAAGGTGTGCCAGCCAAGACAGCCCCACAACATGCAGAGCCTTAAGGAAATCAGGATGAATCTCATCCACCCCTGGAGCCCTGCTGCCTCGGTGTGATTTGAAGATCTCTCTGACGGGTTCTTCTGCCAGGCATTCCCAGCAAACCCTCACTACACGTTTGGGTCTACCAGGTCTGTCTGGCATCTTTCCCCACCATCTGATCCAACTCACTATCAGGTGGTGATCAGTTGACAGCTCAGCTCTTCTCTTTACCCAAGTGTCCAAAACAAACGGCCGCAAATCAGATGACACGACTATGAAGTCAATCATTGATCTATGACCTAGGGCATCCTGGTGCCAAATGCACTTATGGACATCCTTATGTTCAAACATGGTGTTCGTGATGGACAAAATATGATTAGCACAGAAATCCAACAACAGAAAACCACTTGAGTTCAGATCAGAGAGACCGTTCCTCCCAATCACCCCCTTCCAGGTCACACTGTCATTACTCACGTGGGCATTGAAGTCCCCCAGCAGAATAAAGGAGTCCCCAGCTGTTGCACCTTCCAGCACCCCTGCCAAGGACTCCAAGAAGGCTGGATACTCTGAACTGCAGTTTGGCGCATAGGCACAAACAATAGTCAGAGCCCGTCCCCCCACCCAAAGGCGAAGGGAAGCCACCCTCTCATCTACCGGGGAAAACTCCAACACACAAGCATCAAGTCGGGGGGCTACAAGTAGACCCACACCAGCTCAATGCTTCTCACCATGGGCAACTTCAGAGTGAAATAAGGTCCAACCCCTCTCAAGGAGATCAGTTCCAGAGCCCATGCTGTGCGATGAAGTGAGCCCAACTATATCTAGTCAGTACCTCTCAACCTTGCACACAAGCTCAGGCTCCTTCCCTGCCAGAGAGGTTACATTCCATGTCCCAAGAGCTAGCTTTGGTAAGCCAGGGTCAGAGCGCCAAGGTCCTCGCCTTCGGCCACTGCCCATAACATCATGCACCTGACTTTTATGGCCCTTCCTTCAGGTGGTGGGTCCACAAAAAGTGTCTGTGAAAAGCGTTCTATAAATAATCTTTACTTATTTCGCGTTCTTCATTTAAGGGCAGCAAGGTGGTGCAACTGGAAGAGCTGCTGCCTCTCAGCGAGCAGGTCCCTGGTTCAAATCCCGGTCCGGGGAACTTTCTGGGTGGAGTTTGCATGTTCTCTCCGTGCATGCGTGGGTTTTCTCCGGGTACTCCATTTTCCTCCCACAGACCAAAAACATGCATGTTAGGCTGATTGGTAACCTTAAATTGCCCCTAGGTGTGAGTGATAGTGAATGTTTGTTTGTCTGTGTGTCCCTGTGATGGACTTGTGACCCATCCAGGGTGTCCCCCACCCCTCGCACAGTGATTGCTGGACATGGGCACCGGCGACCCCCGTGACCCAAAATGGAAGAAGCGGGTAAAAAGACAATGGATGGATGGATGGATGGATGGATGGATGGATGGAAGGATGGATGGATGGACGTTCTTCAATGAAGAAACTGATGATGTCATAAACACAGTTTGACAGGAAGACTTTCAGATGCTTCAGTTTCAGAGAATAAATGGAGAGCTTTGAAATTTTACACGTGAACCTAAGAGGAAACCTGAAATCCATCCTAAAACATCAACAACTGATCATATTTTTCTATAAAACCTAGTAATAAAAAAGCACTTTCATTGAGACTACAGCTGATCTGTTTTCATTCAAACCACTGGAAGCAAACCTCCTGAGCTGTGACTAGAGTCTGTTTTCAACTCAAAAAACTAAAATACTGTTTAAATATCCACCCCATGTGTAGGATCTGTAAATCAGGCAGAAACCAATCAAACCAGGCTGAGTTAAACTTGTGTCTTCAGTCATTTTCTCTTTCGTCTTTTCATTCAGCCTTTATTTATACAGGTTAGTCTCGAGGAGGACGATGGGACAGTTTCATTTTTCTAAATTTAGTGGCTGATGAAGGCTCTGATTGTGTCAGGCCCACTCTTTAGTTCAGTTCTTCAGGTCACTGGCTGTTCTGATCCCTTGAGGTTAATCTTTTGGATCAACAGATGTAGTGGCTCATTAACCTGGAGCCACCTGAAAATAAGCTGACACAAGAATGCAACCCGATAAAAACCTGACACTGGAACATGCCTCTTGCAGAGCAGCAGTAACTAACATGGAAACATGACCCAATAAGAACCAGATTCAAGAAAACGCCTCCTACAAAGAATAAGCTGTCAAACATGACGCGATAACAACCAGCAGCACTCCAAAAGGACCCGTTAAGAACCAGCAGCATTCCAACAGGACTGTATTTTTTTTTTTTTTGCTCCATATTCAGGATGACTGGGAATCTACACCAGCAAACTGTTAAGAAACAAACAAGAAGCTACTGATGCAGCTAAAAGGAAATCAAAATGAACAAGACTAATGTTCAGCAGGTTCCCATAACTAAAGATCAGAAATGACACATATAAATCCCCTCTGGTCATGTGACCTGCTCTTACCTTTCATACTCCAGATTATCATGGTCACAGCGAGCGTCTTTGTGTTTCTCCCAGTCCTTCCCATGACGGCATGTTGTCAGTGAGACAATGTCCTTCCCATTGTGAATGTGATGAAGAGCATTCCTGGTGTCCGAGCCGATGCCCGTCAGGTAACGCTTCCCTTTGAACATCAGCAGATACTTCCTCCGTGGAGGGGTGGTGGTCCTCAGCAGCCACCCCCGCTCCCCACTCTTCTGTGGGTGGTCCTTTGAAAAGAGTGGAATGGATACATCGAAGCCAGGCCTGAAATGTTCTGTGTTCAGGCTGGCTTTGGCTAAAATGGCCTGACCAATATTAAAGCCCAGATCATCAGTGTAGTTGGGCCAGGTGCCCGAGTATAGGTTGAAGATTAAGTGGTTTCTTCCATTGTTCCACAGTGGGTAACTCAGAATGCGTTCATCCACATGGGGCACAAACTGTCCCGACAGCTGGTCTCGATCCAAGGTGTCGATGCCAAGCACAAACAGGCATGCCTCTCGGGGGTCAGATGTGTAGTACCGAGACTCTGCTATTGATGTCAGGATCTTTCTGTAGCTCTCTGACACACGGTCACTTTTCTCCAAAGGATATATGTACACCCTGAATCCATCCCTGCCTCGGCGTTGACACCGAGAGAAGTCAAAACAAGTGTCCATACGGCAACGGCTGTCTTTATAGATTGTTGGCCACACTTGGCGTCGCTGCCAGGGCGACTCAGTCATGCTCGGGTACATCTGAAGTTCTTCCAGGTGGGCATATTGAGGTAGGAAGGCCTGGTCAGTCCAGTTGGGCCAGTGGTGCAGCACATCTGCTTGGTGGCGTGTCAGCAGGCGCATCAGCTGGAGTTGAACTCCTCCACCACCGTAAAACAAGATCAGCCAGGAGCATGCACACAAGCCCAACAGAACATATTTCTTGCGTGCCTGCATGGGGGCCGTTAGTCTTCCTGTCTCCTCCCACCAACAGTCTGTGGTCTTCTGCTCCTTCCTCTCTGCCCCTCAGCTCTGCAGCCTCACTGGGGCCAACTCTAAAACAGGCAGCTTCCAATGAAGAACAAAGTATTAACAAGAATGTAATGCACGTTGAGGAATGATTCAGTCTGAGATTCTGGAATATCAGGCTGCCTCAGCAGAGGAACATATGTTTCCTCTGCTGTCCATCCTCACTTAAGGTTGTCTCATGCTGTCTCCAGGGCGTCTCCTGGGGAGAAAAGAGCAAACAAGAATCTACATCAGTTCACAAAGTATCTCTGTCTACATGTTCTTTGACCACCATTTCTCAGAGAACTTCTGATTGGATTGGACAGCCTGAAAATGTTCACATTCAGAACACACAGACAGCAGCAGAGGGTTTCGGGTTGTCAGAAGGTGCAGTTAATTACTTTGTAAAAGCCAAGAGAGGTAAACTAATGAAGGCATGAACAATCAGATCCTTCATGTCTCTTTGGGTCTATCCAGGATTGTACAGTGACAACAGTAATAGTCCACACAATAAAACAGAAAGCCACACATTAGCTGAAAACTGGGACACTGCTACAACCTTTATCAAATTCAAACTGGGACCTGAAGAAGGAGCAGAAATAGATTTCTGTTGAAATTAAAAACAATGTTTTTCAGCCTCACACTTTTTTAAACATCCCTGTGATGAACTCTAATGTACTTCTGTGGAGAACACACCCCTCAGTAAAACACAGCCTTCTTTCTGCCAGTGGGGGCACAAAGACAGATTTCAGGCCTCATCTATTCAGTGTTGCCATATTGGGTAGTTTGCTGCACAAATAGGCAATTTTCATTCTGATTTTGCAGGTAAAAATTGCTTTGGGGGTGGGGATAATTTGGGTGGATTTGGAGTCAGATCAGCGGTTTTTGAGTTAACCTATTAAAACACATTTCAAACAATCATTCATCATTATTGGTTCATAGCAAAGCTCCCCTGACCTTTCTCCATCACTGATTGGCTAATGTCATCTGCCAGGGCGTTGACAACAGAGAACGGGTGAGGTGGCACCACAAATTATGCTAGTTTTAGCAGCAGGTGTATGTATTTTTTTTTTCATTTAGCCTTTATTTATACAGGTTAGTCTCATTGAGCCACGAGAACTCATTTTCAAGAGAGACCTGTTTAGGGAGCACATGGTGGGGGTTAAGGGCCTTGCTCATGGGCCCAGAGTGGGGCGAATGAGGGTGGGGGCAAGTGTGGGTGTTTTACCTACCCCACCCACAATTTTGATGTTGTCGGGGCCGGGGTATGAATGCACTTTTTAAAAAAAGGGACAATGTACAGCTCAAACATAAATGTAACCAATTGATGTGCTGTACCAGATTATGCTGGTGAAGATTCTCAGTCATCCAGGACATGATTAATTCAAAAATTGTACAATACAAAAACAACTGGACTTCATTTGTAACAGAAGACGTTTCGCTCCTCATCTGAGGAGCTTTCTCAATTCAAAGAGCAGAGAGTGAGGGGTTCAGGTTATAAGGCTGAGTGAGATAAGACACACACACATAAGACACACACACATATGTAGATTGGCAGTTCACATCTAAACACCTAAACAGTAGGTCTTTGTTCATCTAATTCACAGACGATGCCCCTCTGTTCCCATCAAGTGTGAAAACCGTCTGGGAATCTGTTTTAAAGTTGCATTATATGTACGCCTCTTTCAAACCTCACACCACAGGAAAGGAAAGCTGTAACATCACTCAGCCAGGACCAAAACATCACCATTTTACCAGCTGATAAAGGAAGATGCACAGTAGTCCTCAACACTTCTGATTACCGGGAAAAAATAACTACACTACTGAGTGACCGCAACACCTATGAAACCCTGAAGAGGGACCCAACCAGCACCTATAAAAAGAAAGTCACAGATTACCTGCAAAAACTTGAAAAGGAGAAAACAATCAATCGATCTTTGTATTATAGATTGTACCCAGGGGAAGCCACTTCCTGTCTTTATGGACTTCCAAAAATACACAAAGAAGGAACACCACTCAGACCCATCGTCAGCAGCATGAACTCAGTGACGTACAATATTGCTAAACATCTGGCTGGTATTTTAGCTCCTCTTGTTGGAAACACTCCTCATCACATAAAGAACTCCATTGATTTTGCTAACAAAGTTCAACACTTGAAACTAACCCCAGGAGAAACCCTTTTATCATATGATGTGACTTCTCTTTTCACATGCATACCCATTTCTGAAGCAGTAGAAACCGTCAGAAAACAACTTCTACAAGACAAGGACTTAATCAACAGGACCAACTTCACCCCAGACCAGATCTGCACCCTGTTGGATCTCTGCCTCTCCACCACTTATTTCAAGTTCAACAACAGTTTTTACAGACAGAAGCACGGCTGTGCCATGGGATCTCCAGTGTCACCCATTGTTGCCAATCTCTACATGGAGAGAGAGGACAGCCTCAACATTGAAGTTTACAGAAAACCAACCCACACAGACCAGTATCTTCTGTTTGACTCCCACCATCCACTGGAACACAAACTCTGTCATCAGAACTTTACAACAGTGGGGCGAACGCGTCCCCACGAAGACAGAAGGGAAGAAAAAGGAACAAAAACACATTCAAGAAGCTCTTCAAACATGTGGATATCCTAACTGGGCTTTTGTCAATTCAGCGAGGAAATCTACAAAACACACTAATAAACAGAAAAAGGAGAACAACAGATGGAAAAACATTGTCATCCCTTGTGTTGCTGGAGTATCAAAGAAATTCAGAAGGATCTTCAACAAACACAAGATCCCAGTACATTTCAAACCCAGCAGGACTCTCAGACAGAGGCTGGTCCACCCTAAGGACAAGACACCCATACACAAACAGAGTGGTGTAGTGTATGCGGTCCAGTGCAGCGAGGACTGTCCAGACCTCTACATTGGAGAAACTAAACAGCCTCTTCACAGACGCATGGCTCAACACAGGAGAGCCACCTCCTCTGGACAAAATTCCGCAGTTCACCTCCATCTCACAGATAAGGGACACTCTTTGAGGACCAAAATGTGCACATTTTGGACTGAGAACACAGATGGTTTGAGAGGGGGGTGAAGGAAGCAATTTATGTAAAAAGAGAAAAGCCGTCTCTTAACAGAGGAGGAGGCCTCTTATTTCCATTTTCAAAAACATTCACATCTTCAACATTCAGATGTTCAACGTTCCAGCCAACAATCTAATCAGAATTAAAGGTAAGAATTCAAAATCAACCATAGTAAATTTAATTATTTCACTTATGTAGAAATAAGCTTAGCATATTTGTGTGTTAAAATGGGCAATTAAGACCTCCACTGTGTTGAGCGGGACAAACCGCAAGTGGGGCGGCTGTGGCTGAGTGGTTAGAGCAGTTGTCCTCCAATGCGAGAGTTGGGGGTTCGAATCCACCAGCAGTCACATGTCGAAGTGTTCCTGGGCAAGACACTGAACCCCTTGTTGCCTCTGATGTGTGTCCCACCGGTGTATGAATGTGATAAAGCACTGATTAGTCTCATTAGAATGATTTGTTCAATTAGCTTTGTAGTGATCTAGTAGAGTGCTGTATGAATGGTTACATGAGAACACAGATTATAGTGTAAAGCGCTTTGAGTATCTTGAAATAAGATAGAAAGGCGCTATATAAGTACAGTCCATTTACCATTTACCAAATGGGAAATGGAAAAAAAGGACATCTGGACAAATGTCTCTTCCATGAGATGAGAAGGTATTGACTCACATTGGCAAGATGACAGCAGAAAAATGAGGAGAGGACTGATATGGGAACAATCCATCAGTCAGAGTGACATCAGAATAATAAAATGAATAAAGAAATGACGGCTGAAATGGATAAAGTGACATGAGTGACCCATCGAACGATATATTCTCGTTTGTCTCTCAGGGATGGAGAGTGAAGATTTTAAGGGGAGTACGGTGTCTTTAACTACAAACCGGATTCCAAAAAAGTTGGGACACTAAACAAATTGTGAATAAAAACTGAATGCAAGGATGTGGAGATGGCAAATGTCAATATTTTATTTGTAATATAACACAGATGACAGATCAAAAGTTTAATCTGAGTAAATGTAACATTTTAAAGGAAAAACATGATTCAAAATTTCACAGTGTCAACAAATCCCAAAAAAGTTGAGACAAGTAGCAAAAAGTGGCTGGAAAAAGTAAATTGAGCATATAACTGTAGTATGGTAAGGCTAGGTTAGCTTCAGTTAGCTTAGGAGCTCCACTACAGTCAATTTTTAATAACGGGTTCTCACTTTTTCGAGCTACTTGACAGATATGTGACAGAGTACTGTGTTGGAGATGGTCTAATCAGTGACATGAGACGTTATTTTTTTTGACCCATCAAAATGAATGTGGTCATTTATTAACAGAATCAAAATTTAACATCAAAACATTGTACACTGGACTATACTGATCGGCTCTGATTAATAAAACTTGGCACGTTTTACTTAATAAAAACAACAGACATTTCTGAAGATATCTGGATTAATTACTGGCAAGATAGAAGTTTAAAGAAGGGAAAGGAAGGAGTTTAAATGGAGAGAAAATGGATGGATGAGGATGTATGTCTGTAGACCAGAATAGCACGCTCCTTCCTTACTTTTAAGTTATCATCATCAACTATGCATAACATCATCAAAAGATTCAGAGAATCTGGAACAATCGCTGTGCGTAAGGGTCAAGGCCGTAAAACTCTACTGGATGCTCGTGATCTCCGGGCCCTTAAACATCACTGCACCTCAAACAGGAATGCCACTGTCAAGGAAACAACAGAATGGGCTCAGGAATACTTCCAGAAAGCATTGTCAGTGAACACAATCCACTGTGCCATCTGCCGTTGCCAGCTGAAACTCTGCAGTGCAAAGAGGAAGCCATTTCTAAGCAAGCTCCACAAGCTCAGATGTTTGCACTCGGCCAGGGGTCATTTAAAATGGAGTGTGGCAAAATGGAAGACTATTCTGTGGTCAGATGTGTCACGATTTGAAGTTCTTTATGGAACACTGGGATGCCATGTCATCCGGACCAGAGAGGACAAGGATAGCCCAAGTTGTTATCAACGCTCCGTTCAGAAGCCTGCATCAGAAGCCTGCATCACTTTTGGTATGGGGTTGCATGAGCGCTTGTGGCATGGGCAGCTTGCATGTCTGGAAAGGCACCATTAATGCAGAGAACTATGTTCAGGTTCTAGAACAACAT